CCAGGGGTACGGAGTGCAGCGATCGGTGGTGCGCTGTGTCCCTCGGACACAGCAGATCACGATCAACGAAAAGAGCCGAAGACGTCGGCTCTGTCATGTGATCAGCTGTCTCCAATCACAGCTGATCGGATGTAAATAAGGAAATGCCGGTTATCGGCATTCCTCTCCTCACGAGCTGTCATGCTGACAGCTCGTGAGGAGAGCTGGTAAATCGGCATTACTCAGAGGGGTCATGTACACTGATCATCAGGGCAATGATGATCAGTGTGCCCTGATGATCAGTGCAGCTCCAGCAGTGCCACCTGTCAGTACCCATTAGTGCCACATACCAGTGTCCATCTGAGCTGCCTTTCAGTGCCGCCTCATTAACGCACATCAGTGAAGGAGAAAAATCACTTATTTACAAAATTTAACAAAAACCAAGAAAAAATTTTTTTTTCTTAAATTTTCAGTTGTTTTTGGTTTGTTTAGCAAAAAATAAAAAAACCAGGAGGTGCTTAAATACCACCAAAAGAAAGCTCTGTCTCAAAAAAAAAAAAAAAAAAAAATTTCATATGGGTACAGTGTTGCATGACCGCACAATTGTCATTCAAAGTGCAACAGCGCTGACAGCTGAAAATTGGCCTGGGCAGGAAGGGGGTATAAGTGCCCTGTAGGCTAGTGGTTAAAGCCCAAGTGCAGCCAAAATATACAGATACCAGCACAAAGGACATAACTTAGTCAGTCGGATGTTTCAGTAATGCTGCTTTTTCTGTTTTTATTGGCTGCACTTAGGTTTTAAATAAGAGTACAAGCTCTGAAAATCTTAGAATACATGCAGGTTTCTAAAAACTTGGAAAGCAGGTAGCTGGGCACAGCTTTACATCAGTGCACGTTTTCTCCACACATTGACAACAAGCAACCATTTATATTGGGTCACAGTCATGTATGGTTTTGCAAAACAAATATACTATAATCATCTTACTAATGCAAACATTATTCCACTGAAAACATTTAACTTGACTTTAATACATCTGAAATAAACAGAATGAAGGCTTACCTAAAGCTTGTTTCTCAGAGTTGTTTTGTCTGCTTTACCCTTTCCTGAAGGCTACTTCCCTAATTCTTTACACAGTGTCCTGTCTGCTCACATGACCTGTCCAATCAGCTTGTTACACATTCATTTTAATTTATCTGCTAACACTTCCTCTTTCCTTACCAGAACACATCCTATCTGTTACCTCTTCTGGAATTGCCTAAATGTATATGAATTGGTAGGAGTTGGGGAGTGATACAAATTGGATTGCATTAGGAATATTGCAATTAATGAGTTATATTCTGTTTTATGCAACAGAGCGTATTTTAAAATAATAAAGCTAAATCAATATATTACTGATGACATGCTAGAGGATAGAGTTTAAAATATTTAAGTGAGTAAATCCTCTTTTTTTTTTTTTTTTTTTTTTTTTAATGGTTACATGCCCCACTGAGTCATTAAAAAGATCCCATTTCTAAGACAGTTGTACAGGCTCCTCTACTTTAATAAAATTGCAGGTTTCCCTGTACACACCAAAGGCTGGCCACAGACTAGTATATAGACTATGAACAAAAATCAAAATTGTTTGATTTTTTTTTTATACTATTGTGCCATCAATTGTTTCGGAATTTTCCTCTGCAAAAACATTTTTTCTTCATCTGTGGAATGATGCAATATATCATGAGCTATTGGTTTGAAATAATAACACTGGGTTTATTATGTTAAATAGCTTTGCTTCACGCACTTCCAGCCCCATCTATCTGGATTCCTTGTTATTGCAAGGCTGCAATAAACAAAAACGTTGAATTTGCTTATCCCCTACAACCAGTTCTGGCTGCAGGTTTTTTTTTTATTTATTTATTTTAATTACTATTAGTAGAAAAACACACACTCTACGGTCATCAAAATAAGACATGACAGACTTTTGGTGACAGAGAACGCTCTTTTGTGCTCATGCCCATTTCAGTTTATTTTATAGAACGATAATGCTATACACAATTAGAGGATAGTTCATTCCAATGTAAAATTTTCAGTATGTTTGATGTAATTTTCAATAACCATATGAAAAATCACCGGTTGCTGTGGGCACATTAAGGATTAACAAAAAAAAAATAAATCAAACAATCTTTCTTCTGACAGTCTGGCTGAAAAACGACAAGTCCATCCAGTTCAGCCATTTAAAAAAATTAAAATAGAAAAAAATTTTAAAATAATCCTACACCCACAGTTGATCCAGAGGAAGTAGAGGGCAAAAAAAAAAAAAAAAACCCCAGCAAAGCATGATCCAATTTGCTCCTGCAGGAGAAAAAAAAAAATTCCTTCCTGATCCCCTGAGAGGCAATCAGATATTCCCTGGATCAACTTTACCTATAAAATGTTAGTATTCAGTTATATTATGGATATCCAAGAAAGAATCCAGGTCTTTTTTTTTTTTTTTTTTTTTTTTTTTTTATTTAAAGCAATCCACTGAGCTGACCAGAACCAACTCTTGAGGGAGTCTATTCCACATTTTCACAGCTCTCACTGTGAAGAAACCTTTCCATGTTTGGAGATTAGATTTCTTTTCCTCCAGACGTAGAGTGCCCCCTTGTCCTCTGATGACCTCAGGGTGAATAGCTCTACACCGAGTTCACTATATGAACCACTGATGTATTTATACATGTTCATCATATCCCCCCTTAATCTCCTCTTCTCAAGAGAGAATAAATTCAGTTCCTCTAATCTTTTCTCATAGCTGAGCTCCTCCATGCATCGTATCAGTTTGGTTGCCCTTCTCTGTATTTTGTCCAGTTCCCCAATGTTCTTTTTGTGAATTGGTGCCCAAAACTGAACTGCATATTCCAGATGAGGTCTTACTAATGATTTGTACCAGGGGTAATATGATATCTCTCTCTGGAGTCTATACCTCTTTTAATACAAGAGAGGATTTTGCTCGCTTTAGAAACCGCAGCTTGGCATTGCATGCCATTATTAAGCTTGTGATCTACCAGAACTCCCAGATCCTTCTCCACTATTGATTCCCCCAGTTGTACCCCCCTAGTATGTATGATATATGCATATTCTTAGCCCCCAAGTGCATAACCTTACATTTATCAACATTAAACCTCATTTTCCACATAGTTTCCCAATTAAACAGTGCATTGAGGTCGGCTTGTAAGTTGAAGACATCCTGTAAGCACGTTATTCCACTGCACAGCTTGGTGTCTTCTGCAAAGACTGAAATGGGATTTTTAATCCCAGACCCTATATCGTTTATAAATATATTAAAAAGTAAGGGTCCCAACACTGAACCTTGGGGTACACCACTAATGACCCTAGACCATTCAGAGTATGAATCATTAACCACTACTCTCTGAATACGATCTTTTTGCCAGTTTTCTAGCCATTTACATACGGATTTTTCCAAGCCCGTAGACTTTACCTTACACATTAGCCGTGTGTGGGGAACTGTGTCAAACGCTTTTGCAAAATTCAAGCATACCACGTCCACCGCCACCCCTCTGTCCAAGGTTTTGCTCACCTTCTCAAAAAAAGAAATCAGATTTGTTTGACAACTTCTGTCGTCATTTATGAATCCATGCTGTCTGTTGCTTACAATATTTTTTTCCAGCAAAAACTCATCTATGTGGTCTTTTATTAAACGCTCCAGTATCTTCCCAACTATAGGAGTTAAACCAACAGGTCTATAATTACTTGGTAAAGATTCTGACCCCTTTTTAAATACTGGCACCACATTGGCCTTACGCCAATCCAGTGGTAGTATGCCAGTTATTAAAGAGTCCCTAAAAATTAGAAACAAGGACATGCAATTTTGTTCATTTTTCGACTCATGTATGGCCTGCTTAAAGTGGTTATAAAGGCTGAAAGTTTTTTACCTTCATGCATTCTATGCATGAAGGTAAAAAAAAGCCTTCTGTGTGCAGCAGTGCCCCCAGCCCCCTCAATACTTACCTGAGCCTCGCGATCCAGCGATGTTAATGAAAGCTTTGGATGTCCCAGATCTCTGCATCCTCATTGGCAGAGACAGCAAGCGGGAGCCATTGGATCCCGCCAATCACAGCCAGTAAACCAATGAGGGGAGGGGGGCAGGGCCAAGCCACGGCTCCATGTGTGACATAGCTGCTTGCTATGGGGGTACCCGAAATACAGAAGGAGCCAGAAGAGCCTGCAGGGGACCCAAGAAGGAGGAGGATCCAGGCTGCTCTGTGCAAAACCACTGCACACACTAGGTAAATATAGACTTTTTTTTTTTTTTTCTGTAAAGACTCTGCATTCTAGCTGGGACACACCCATTTCCCCTACCCAGTCCTGACACCAAGGTCCTAGCAGTGGCCAGGGAAGCCTCCACAGATCTGCAAACTTTGTCAAGGCAGATAATGTAAAGCTCACTCAGCTGCCATCAAACCTTTGTTCGCCTTACAGCCAAGGGAGCAGCTGTGTGATGTTTATCCTAAAGAGCAGCTAAACCCTTTGATTTACCCCTTTCCCAAAACGGCACAAACCGTTATTGATGAATTATACAATATTAACTTATCCTCTAGTTTAGGAAAAAAAATCTGTCTTTTCTGCATGGGGGAAAAAAAAAAAATACAGGTGGTCTTCACTCAGTTGTTACCCAGTGAAGCAAATTGAACAGATACTGTCTGGATTACCAGACAAGTCATATGTAAACTAAAGACATTACACAAATATATAAAAGGTAAAGATTCTGAAACGTTGGTTGTAAGATTGACTGTGCCAGAATGCACCATACTGTCAAAAGCTTCTAATACATATTTTGTAAAAGAACTACATTAGGTAAACACCCCATGCTATAGTTAGTCTGAACATAGCCTGTGTATAAGGGGTGGTGGTACTAGATCATAATTTTGACATGCCAATCTAGTATTGTAACAGGACATCTAAAAATATACAATGAAGGTGGTACTGTAGTTTAACTTTGTAAAAGATTAGGGCCATTTTAATATACAAATGTCACACTCACCTCTGTCCCAGTCAGGAATGGGTGTCCTGAACCAGTGATGGTCAGGTAGCTGTCACTACCCCCTGGAAACTGCAAACAACAATGTGAAGAATTGTAACATGTTGCATCAACAATACTGTATACACAACAGATAATATACACATTTAAACCCCTTTCATGCAAATATATGCACCATAATCTTAGCAATAACTAAACTTCCTGTTATGCTTTAACCACTTCAATACAGGGGCACTTTTACCCCTTCCTGCCCAGGCTAATTTTCAGCTTTCGGCACTAACAGTTTGGATGAAAATTGCGCGGTCATGCAACACTGTACTCAAAGTAATTTTTTTCACACAAATAGAGCTTTCTTTTGGTGCTATTTAATTTCCACTGGGTTTATTCATTTTTTGCTAAATAAACTAAAAAAAGGCGGCAATACGGGAGGACATCCTATGACGTCCACCCGGATCAACAAGAGTCCCGATCGGCCGTCATTCTCCTATAGGCCCGGTGGAAACTGGTTAAATTGGTTGTAAACCTCAGACATGAAATATGAACAGAGAATGTCCCTCCATAGCAAGGGTCTCCAAACTTTCTACACAAAGGGCCAGCTTACTGTCCTTCAAACTTTAGGGGGGTTTGACTGTGGGAGTAGATAATGCCCTGACGAAGGAGTAAACAGTTCCCCATCGTTGGGGTCAGTGGGAGGAATACTGCCCCATCGTCTGTCAGTTGCAAGAACTATGCCCCACCGTTACAGACAGTGTGGGGGGAATTTTGCCCCAAGGGCCAAGCAAAGGACCACATCTGGCCCCTAGGATGTAGTTTGGAGACCACTGCTCTATAGTGTGTACTTGTCTTAATCCAGAGCATTACCAAGTGTCATTTCTCTCTACTGCCTCATTCTTCTGCTATCCACATTGATCACTTCTGACAAGTTTTCCTGACACCAGGAGATATTAAAAAAAAAAAAAAAAAAAAAAAAAAAAAAAAAAGTGACAAGGGGAGGGATCTCCAGCACAGTCTGACAGCCTCAGCTGTTACTGTGTGAAGGGAGGTTTGTCCCTTCCCTACAACCAGCTTTCCTCACAGAGCGCTGCAGAGTGTAACTTCAGGTCCCCTCCCCCTGCTTTCTGTAAGCTCAGACAAGCTGTGTAAATTCTGGGCTTTGAACAGCTGTAAAGAGAAGAGAAGAAAGCAGATAAGCCAGTACAAACTATGCAGTAGGATTTGTATCATCTCTGTGTATCACACAAGGCCAATCACTTCACTGGGTATATGTAAAGGTTTACAACCACTTTAAACTTCATTACCTTACAAAAGCCTGCATTGAGGCGCATGAAGTGATCTCAGTATATTTTATACACACACACACACACACACACACACACACACACACACACACACACACACACACCTAATGCCTATGCACAACAGCAGCAGTCTTGATTACTAACACAAATTTTACATTGCATCTTTACTGACACTGAAGGGACACTATTTTAGACCCAAAATCAAGCCCAAAAGCTCCCTGAATCCATGATATGTGGATAGTAGCACCATTATTGTATGTTTCAAACCCAAAAGGCATGCTTGTGAAGTAGGATTAGTCACCCCTCCTGTGTCACTGATCTCTGCTGTGAGATCTATACTGGCTGAAAAATCTTTCAGGAATATCTGATGCCTGATCCCCTTTGTGTTGGCTTTGGTTCCTTCCTCTGTCCCCTACATCAATAGTATACATAGCAGTGTGGTAGGAGTTGGAGGAGAGAACCACCGTGAACAGGGAGAACAGGCATCCAACGCTCCTAGAAGTGTCAAGATGTTGAAGATTTTTCAGCTAGCGTAGGTCATGAAGACAGTAGAAATCAGAGTCGGGGCACAAGCAATTTTAAATATTAACCCTCTTTGCAGGCAAGCCTTTGGGTCTCAAAATGATGTAGGACAGGGGTGTCCAAACTGTGGCCCTCCAGGTGTTGAGAAACTGCAAGTCCCATGAGGCCTTGCAAGACTCTGACATCCACAGGCAAGACACCCAGAGGCAGAGGCATGATGGGACTTGTAGTACTTCAGCAGCTGAAGGGCCATAGTTTGGACATCCCTGATGTAGGATGAGGCTTTAAAGTACTGAAGGGCTTTGGAAAGAATTTGTGAATACTTAATATAGGTGTTCTTAAACTTTTTAAATCTGAGGTCCCAAATAAGAAAACCATCGTGGGACACAGGGAATGAATTTTTACCAATGTAATAGGAAACCCATAAAAAGACTAATAGCCATTAAACACCACTTGGCCTTCCATGGTTGTAACAATTTATGAAACTTTCTGCTGTGTCAATGAAGCATTCCTCAGAGCTGCCAACATAGTGTGTTTACAGTGTAAAAACTGAATTTTTGGCCTGAAATTGCTTAACACACCCAAAACATTATAAAATTTCTGAAAGCAGAGGATCTGTAAAATAAAAGATTGTTTTCATATTGGTGCAACTGTTAAAGTATGACTGAAGGCAAAACTTTTTTTTTTTTTTTTTTTTTTTTTATTAGTTTTTGAGAGAGTGAAGAGAGATTAGAACCCCGATCAGGTTTTTAGGGTTAGGATTAGAACTCCGGTTCAGGTTTGCTGTTGGTGTCTCAATTAGGGAGAATCACCCTATTTGTCACATTTATTATTATTTCTTAAAGCGGAGCTCCACCCAAAAGGGGAAGTTCCACTTTAATAAATGCTCCCCATTCAGGATTGGCACCTTTGGGGGGGGGGGGGGAGCGGTTACCCGAACTCGACAGGTACCTGCTCCCACTTCCATTCTGATTGCCTAGGCGACCGGAAGTGGAAGGTGTCCTCCCTGTAGTCTTTTGGGACACGTGACAGGTCCCAGAAGACTACAGGACCATTCATGAAGCACAGTGGTACTGGCGCATGCGCAGTGGGTACCCGGCTGTGAAGCTGCAAGCTGTCACAGCTGGGTGCCCACACTGAAGAGCCAGTGAACCAATGAGGTGAGAAGAGGGGGCAGGGACGACCTGAAAATATGTGTGAATGGACACACAGACTTGGGAGACTTTGGAGAGAGCCTGCTTGGGTGCCCCCATAGCAGGCTGCTTGCTGCTGGGGCATTTGGCAGGAGGGAGTGACCAAGGGGTGCCGGTGGGTACCTGAGAAGAGGAGGGTCAAGGCTGCTCTGTGCAAAACCACTGCAGGAGTAGGTAACTGACATGTTTAAAAAAAAAAAAAAAAAAAAAAAAAAAAAAATTACCTTTACAATCACTTTAATGCTACCACACAGGGCCTCACAAGCCTCCTATGCACTAGACAGGTACTCTTTAGGGAGACATCAGGGCTCTCCCTGCCCTCTGTTTTAGCCAGTTGAGCAGAGTGTGCTTGATCTGCGATATACTCATGCTTGCACCGGGGTCTTGACAGCTCTGGACCCAGAGAATGCTCAGAGTGAGCACTTATGGGTTGATCCTCTTCAAGTGACACCCCCCTCCATGGGTCAATAAGCAGAGGGCTGCCATATACAGGGCATGGAGGACAGAGGTAATCCTTACAGCAACTACTACTACTACTACTACACAGGTGCGTTCCTTCTTACAGAGTAAACATGCTAACGTACGTTAGTGCTGGGAGACTGCATCTGGAAACTTACATCAGCACTCATGAGCCAACTTTACAAATTGCAGTACATACCTGTGTACAGGGGCCTAGACCCATTCATGTCTATGGGCAGCAGTATGTAGCCTCTGAGGCTCCTGTGCAGCAAAATACACAGTGGGCTTACACTGTAAGAAGCAATGTATCCATGTGTATGACTTTTAAAGAGTATTTAAAGACTAATACAGTGTGAAGAATTAGACTGTCAGATTTTATTACTGTAGTTCTTTGATGAGAAGATTTAGATGTTGTTAGACACAGTTGAATGAAGTGTCATTTTGTGAAAGACAGAAAAAAAAAAACCCAACGTGCTACCTTTTATGACTACATCACACCCCCTCCTCCTTGACAACCATGTGCAGGCTGTTATGAACCAGCCCTTAGGGTCCTTTCACACAGGTGTCATCAGATCAGTCACATTTTCTGCTAAAACAAAAAAAAAACAAAAAAGAAAAAAAAAATAATATGATGAATACAGATTCAGGTTACATTAGTTTGCACATCTGTCTTCAGTTTACATCCTTTGTTTCCAGTTGTAGAAACCAAATCATAGGTTACAAAAGTATAAAGAAAAAGGTTTCTTGCTTAAAAACAGCCAAAATCTGTGTCATATCCTTTCAGCTGCAGCTAGACAGACAAGGACACAACCTTGTACTCTTTAAACAAAAACCAGACCTGAAAGAACACAGAGGATCTTTTTACATCCACCTGACCATAGACATACATTGTGGTTCTGTCTGAAAAACTGACAGACAGATCCAAACTAAACAACTGTGTGAAAGAGCCCTCTTAGGGAAAATCCAAAAATTTTGGTCTCCAAAGAAGACTTGAGATTAAAGTGGCGTTCCAGCTGTTTTTGTGTTTATTACAAGTGAGCAGCTACAAAAACTTTATCTGCTGACTTTTAATAAACACACACTTACCTGTCCCAGGGTCCAGCGATGTACTCCCTGCACTGTCCTTTCTCTCCTCCACAGCACCAGCATCTCTACTGTGGGCACCAGGCTGTGACAGTTTGCAGCCTGGTGCCCACCGCACATGCGTGAGTCGCACCACACCTCGTGACTGGTGCTGCAGTCTCCTCGGACCTGTGAAAGTTCCCAGGATACTGCGGGAGCAAGGAGGGGTCTGAACTTCCGGGTCACTTTGCCGCGGCGAACTGATCCGGAAGTGGGCGCGGTTACCTGTCAAAACTAGGTACCCGCACCCCCCAAAAAAGGTGCCAAATGTGGCAATGGAGAGGGAGGCAAATAAGCAGAGCTTCCGCTTTTGAGCAGAACTCTGCTTTAAATCAATAATTTAGGACAAACGTGATGACAAGTGTCTAAAAAGGAAACACTCATCTTCACATGGAGATCCCCTACCTTCAAAAAGGTGTCACAATGACAGGAAGCAAGTGAGAATCTCTCTAATTGGCCACAGAAAGCCAAAATCCTCAGCCTG